AAACTGGTTATGTATTAAAGACTGTATTTTGAGGATGTTATTCCTTAAATGTAAATTTACATCACAGTTATACAGCATGACAATATCAGAAAATTGTCTTAAAAAATTCTTCCAAGGTCTAAAAGTGTAAACGTCCAGCGGTTGAATTAAACCAGTGGTTCCAGCGGGAATCGTAAAAATTTGGACGTTTTTATTGTCTTTATCAATATTGTCAAACTTTTTTTCAGTCTGGCCAGTCCAAGAATCTAACAAAAGAACAGAGTTTTCTCCGGTGTTTGGTAAAAAAACGTTTGCGAACCAATTAATGGCAAGGTCGGATGTTAATTTGCCTGATTTTGATGCAAATACGACAATATTGTCTGCTTTGTACAAAGTTTTCTCAACGATTGGTCCAAATTTACCACTAGTCTCTTGCAGGACTATTAACGGAGATTTAAAGGGGACTTTAAATCTCCGTTGGCAGAAACGATTGGCTAAATAGTGTAGCTGTGCGTCAAAGAATTCAAAGATTGCGCTAAACACTCGACTTTCAATGATCCTTTTAAAGCAAGCGTGCGACCTGCATGCGTTTCTAAATTTGTTCGGGAGTCGACCTTGACGAGATCGCCCGAAACTGAGAGAAACGCTCAGAGATGAGCGAGAAGCGGTGTGTAACGCGAATCCGTAGATCCGCTGGAGGATAAGGAGATTGAGAAAAGAATCGAGTGCAGATTGTTAGTAATGTTCCCTTTATTTTGAATAATAGGAGAGAGCGACGGCACGTATTCCGCGATACCGACGGAAATCTTCAAAATGTCCTGTTAATGACTGCCCTTTTTTCGCGGTTCGGAAATCTTGATTAAGAGCTTCTTGCTAGAAACTCTCGCTCGATATTAATTAATATAAGTTATTTTATTATATATATTTTAAATCAAATAAGTTATTTAATTATATATTTCCTATTTGGATATTAATATTATTAGATATGTTAATTGTAATTTATTTACAATTCATTTCTATTGCAGGATTTTATATTTTACTGAAAAAGTTTTGGCTTTTCCATATTTGAGATTTACATTTGGGTGAAAACTATTTACTGGTATTTGACTGTTACAAAGTGGACATGTAGGTTATAACATTTAATTATTCTAAACTCAGATAACAGAGTGACATCAAATGATATGTACATAACGTTTTAATGATTTTTTAATACGTCATTAAGTTGTCTTTACACGTCATTCTGCTACCTGGACTGTTTCTATAATTCTTAATGTGTGTCTGTGTCATTTAATAAAAGGTAAAAAAAGGAACATTGCTCAAAAAAGTGAAGCCAGAATCTTGAACTATAACTTTACAAGTCAGTAGTGCTAAATGTTAGTCGTAATCATAAAGCCATAAGCGAATCAACCAATCGCAATCAAACATTTTTACAAAAATATTTGATTGTGATTAATTTATTTATTTACGGCCTTACGATTACGTCTAAAATTGTTGTACGTATAAAGGCTTCAAGAGATCATGGATGTAGCAATTGTATACCTTTAAATAAAATTAATTTAAAATGTTTATGTAATTATAAAAAATCTATATACCTTTATATCTGCATATATTAGAATTTTCTTACAAGCAACTATGAACTGATGATAAGCCGGATTATTATTATAATCGCCACTAACTCTTATAGATCCAAAGAAGAGTTTAAAATGATTTTGATTTAATTTGTAATAGATTAAATAATATTTTTAAATCTTGTTAATATTTTAAAAATGTATTAATAATACTTTTAACAGCAATAAGTGTAACCTAAAAAATGTACCTTTTTTTACATTTTATTAGAAATGTGTCGTTCACAAATTTTTTAATATAAGAATATATTTTTCTTTTCAGGAGACATTACTCTACAGCACTCTTCTTTAACAGAAGCCGAATTTGATAACATAGTGGCGGAATGGCTACGTTTCGCCAAGCAGAGGAAGCAGAGGGAAGAAAGAGGAACACAGGAACACAGGGAAGAAAGAGGAATACAGGAACAAAATAAGGAAAATAATTAGTATTTAAAACAGATTTTGTGTAATAACAATTAGATGTATTATAAAACAGGTTTTGTGTAATAACAATTTAGACGGGATATGACAGGTAAGAGCCTAACCGCGGTAAGTGTGCAAGAAAAAAAGTTAATATATAGAGTTATATAGAGTTTGTATACAGTTTTAGTTTATATAGAGGAAAAAGGAGAGAGAGAGACAGAGACAGAGACAGAGTAAAATATAAAAAAGATTTTAAATGACAGATACACTTTTAATAATGTATTGAACATACTTTTCAATTTTAATGTTGCGAATACCCTTCCATAAGCTATTTATCGCACATTTGTTCGTACAAAATTTTTTCTTTCGCACTACTTACCGTGCTTAGGCTCTTACCTGTTTTATCACGATTAAATTGTAATTAATATTTGTCATTTTAAAAGACCATATCTAACCAAAGACAATTTTGCTTTTTCTTTAAATTTCGTTTTTTGGTTTAAGTTTTTCCACAAAAAAAGTAAATTTTGTTTTCATTTAAAATACCTACAAATGTAATAGGTATATAAATAATAATATAGAAAATAATATATAAAAAATGTAAATATACCCAGACAGCACAAAACGTCCTCAGGATCATCCTGAATATGTCCAGGATGGTTCAGGATATTTGTAGGATGTTTTAAGATATTATTATAAATATATTTTATGAAAATTTAATATGCATACATGATTACTTTCGGTTATGTAGGCTATTTAATATAATTTAGAAATTTTAAGTATTGTAATAAGTATTAATGTCCTATAAATGTCCCCTGGATAACCCCTGGATGTCTGTAGGATATCTGCCCTGTCTATTACCCAGACAGCACAAGGATGTCCTTAGGACGTCCAAAGGGCATCCAGGACATACATGTAGGATATCCTGAGGATATCCTATTTTAATCCTCGGATCTCCTCTGGATGTCCTGAGGAAGAGTAAATGATAGCCGTACACTAGCCTCTGGAGAATCCAGGGAGATCCTGTGGAACACCTTAAGGATTTCTATAGGATATGTTAGGGATATTTTTCACACGTTAAAAAGAACAAATTCTAAAATTTAAATATAAATTAAGATTGCGTTCTATTATTTACTGCCAATACTAAAAATCTAATACTAAAAATAGTTCACGTTCTTTAATATTTGAGGTTTTCGTGCTGTACATGAATATTTTAGGTTTGGCTTCCGGGTTTGAGTCGTGTAATATTTTCAAAACAATCCAATATCTGAATTCCCTATGTTGGGATTGCATCAGAAATTGAACTGATAAAAAATAATTATATTTTTAATTTCCTGTTAGTTGCTCTTTACAAGCTTTATATAATTCTCATGACCAAATCTCAAATACGAGTTCGCGCGTCGCATAGCGGTAAACAAACGAACTAGCGGTTGAATACTATTTTTTGTAAAGTTTTTGGAATGTTGCGCATAGTAACATTTCTCATGAAATATTAAATAAATAATAATTTTGAATATATGAAAATGTGCGCATCAAATTCAATTATTAATATTAAACGAAATTAATGTTAACAATTAATTGCACATGTATATGTCCTCTGGAAATCCAAAGGACATTCAATATAATAGACAGGGCAGATATCCTACAGACATCCAGGGGTTATCCAGGGGACATTTATAGGACATTAATACTTATTACAATACTTAAAATTTCTAAATTATATTAAATAGCCTACATAACCGAAAGTAATCATGTATGCATATTAAATTTTCATAAAATATATTTATAATAATATCTTAAAACATCCTACAAATATCCTGAACCATCCTGGACATATTCAGGATGAACCTGAGGACGTTTTTGAAAGAAAAGGGGTATACGGGTGGTCTAGGACACCCTGTATAAAAACAAATATATTATTATTTGCACCTCACAAGACATGTAATAGAAATTTTATTTATCACATACTTGTTACAAACGCAAATACAATATTAAATTTTTTAATTAATTCCAAGTGAAAGTACATTTATTTTGCTTGAAATTAATTAAAAAATTTGATTTAGTATTCGCGTTTGTAACAAGTCTATAAAACAATTATTTTTAATATAATATATAACTATTTAGTAACAAACTACATTACAAATATATAACTATTTAGTAACAACATTATAACACAAATTTTGTTTATATAAAAACAAATATATTATTATTTGCACCTCACAAGACATGTAATAGAAATTTTATTTGTCACATACTTGTTACAAACGCAAATACAATATCAAATTTTTTAATTAATTCCAAGTGAAAGTACATTTATTTTGCTTGAAATTAATTAAAAAATTTGATTTAGTATTCGCGTTTGTAACAAGTCTGTAAAACAATTATTTTTAATATAAACTACATTACAAATATATAACTATTTAGTAACAACATTATAACACAATTGTTTAATTCAAATTATAGTTATATAACTTTTTCCAAATTTTTATACATGTTATATAACCATTCAATAACTTTTTCGAAGATTACATAACATGTTATCTATATGTTACATTAATGTTATATGACTGTAATTTATGTGAGTAGGAAATTACTCCTAACGTGTATATAACATAGTACATTTGTGTTATATTGCGTGTTACATTTCGTTTTATTATGATAATATAACCATTATATATCCGTGTGTGCTGGGTATTATGTTATACACTTTTTTCAATGTATTTTTATTTATTGCGCTTGAGGGGATTCGTCCTAGAGCGCTTAATAAATGAAGCTTGCTCTCTCTCTCTCTCACTCTTTCTTCTAAAAATACAATATCTCATAACTCGATAAGAATCCGATAAGAAATTTTTGTTAAAATTTTCTTAAGATTTCTTAAGATTATTGATACAAATAATGTGTGTATCATTATGAATGCATTATGTAATGTATTTAACTGGAATAAAATATAACCCAGTCAGCCACGTCTGTTCTAACAGATATTGCCAAGTGCTTGCTACAAATTATTGTCAGCAAAAAGGCTACAAATTTGGTGCAAGAGTTGTTATTACCGATTAAGCTGGCAGATTGCCGGCAAAAACCAAACAAAGCTTGCTAACATAACTAGACAGCAAATTGGCGGCAGAAACCGAGCAAAGCTTGCTGACATGACTGACATCAGATTGTCAGCAAAAACTGAACAAGGTCTGAAGTGCGCAATCTGATGGCAAATTGGCAGCAAAAACCGAACAGAATCTGCAGCTTATTACAAAGTATTATAAAATAGTTCAGTCGCTTATCGCTATGCGGCGCGTTATTCATTATCTATACCCGTATTCAAATTCTTATCATGAGTGTATATAAAGCCTGCAAAACGCTAATAATATTATAATATATATATATCAGGTGATTGCATAAGTTCGTGCCCGATTTAAATATAAACTTCAATAGATTATATTTTAGAGATAACACTTTTATTAATCAAT